CTCTGTGTTTGCTCACATGTTTCAACTCTTTGGATGGACGAATACATCAAGTTTAATGAAAACAGCACAGGAACTTCAAAGCAGGAAAACAGCTATTAAAAATTATCTGACAAGAAGTGACACTTCATCTGCATCCACAGTATTTAATTTGTTTGAATAATATAGTTACAGATAAACAGGTTCACTCCATATACAATTACCGATACCTTTTTTAATACAGCTCATATTCCAGTACATCAACACTATTGTATTTACAAGGTATTTATGTACATTAACATCTTTCTAAAGTCAGTGCATTGTCAATAAGTTTTATACAATAATTTACAAAGTGAATGTAGTTAATAGTTAACTTAATAAATTTACTACTAATTCATGAATTAATTTAATTTAAAAAAAATTAATTACAACCAATGTAACAAACACAGAAGATCAAATAACATTAGTAGATTGTGCTACCTGCTTAAATAAAACATTTCAAAGTAAATCAGTTGAAAATCTTTCACTTTTCATGGAGTTTGCGGAGGGAGGAGTAGACAAACGGGTACTGAAAAAGCTTCTAACCTAGAAATTCACAAGTCGTGTTTGCTTTTCTTCAGTCTCAACGTTCAGACCACTTTAAAGATAAAAGCCCGTATAGGATAGGGAGCGACACTTCACAAGTAAGACAATACTTATTTTGGAACCAATCTGCTGTCTTCAAAGAGGCACAACCTCCAGCAAAGGCAGGCAGGTTTTTGCTCGAGTAAAGACAGCAAGTTCAGCTGATGTCATTTCTTAAATGGATAAAACTCAGGTCTTTCTGGAAATTATAAGCTTACTGGTAGGTTTGGCATTCTTTTAAGATACATTAAAATGAACCCAAACACACATTTCAGAGATCAACTGGGTAAGTTTTAATTTTGTTAGTGAAGACACAAAACCTAAAGAATTTGGAAGCTGACATACGACAGAATTAGTAAGCTGCTTAGACTCAGCTAAAGAACAAAAGGCCAGAAGAGTGAAACGTCTACCTTCATTCAGATATGCAAACAGTTTAACACTGAAAAGTTTAAAGAAATGCCTCCTCAAAATATAACCATCTTTTTTCCAGCCTCTGCCAAGACTCAAGTCATGCTTTCCTTCATGCAATAAGCCCGCTGACTTAAAAGAGCATGTTGCAAGGGCGCGGAAAGCAATTCTGGTTTAATTGCAAGTATATGCATAACCCGTTGTGGAAAAAAAAAAAAAAAATTCAAAAAGGCAACTAAATTTTGAAAAAAAGAAACTCCATTAACTTATGAAACCAATTTAAAAAGCCCATCCATGAATGCTACGATAGCTACCTGACAGCCACAGCTTCTTATTCGTTTGAAATACACAGTGGATAATTCACAGCCATTCACTCCAGAGCCCTTACAACAACAAAAACAAACTATGTTTTTGAATTTAATTATACGAATTTTTAAAAGTGCAAATTTAAAAGCAACACCAGTCATGAAACATAAGCTCAAGCATCTTTCCTTCCAAAAGCTGGGAACATTTTGTGCAATGTGCACAGTTTAAGACACCATGCGTATAACCACAACTACTCTCTTCAACCTGAAGTTTCTTTTTGAGCCATCTCAAGAGCGGAGATAGCGCTCCTCAGGCAGAAAAGCCATTCCTGAAACATGTTGATCTGCACAGCCAACACATAGAGAAAACACAATTATAATAAACCATTCAAGTGTAGAAATTAATCTCTTCTCAAATTATGATTTGGTTGTGCTCCCAACATACAGAAAGAAAGCAACTGACACACGTTAGTGGTGGCAAAACTGGGAACTTCTCTTACTCTGGATGATAATTCCTTAAGTTTGTGCACTTTTCATTCTCTTGCTTTCCCTGTTTTGCCAATAAAATGCAATAAAACTGCAGGAAAAAGGAGGTAGCAATATCATGTTGTCCAAAGACAACACTACAATTTTTTTTCCCCATTATCTTAAACCTAAAGAGAGCCTTAGGGGGTTGTTAGAACAGTTGGTAAACTCCACACTACTTTGTTTAGCTCTTATTTGGACTATTTAATTTAGCTCTTATTTGGTCCTAGTCGGCTTTTCTCAAACCATTTTATTTAAAGGCCAATGGCAGTCTCAGCCTGATGTCTAACATCAGAAATGTTTAGAGCATGTAGTGAGATAACAGAACAAAACAATACTATCCTTATATTAACTGCTATTTCATTAGGGTTTTCTGTTTGTGCTTTCAGATCACAGGGTAAAATAACTACACTTCGGTTACCTGTTTCAACATCGTTTTTGCCAAATGTAAGTTGCCGGATGTTAACCCTCCTCACATTCTCAAAACAGTCCACGGAAGATCATCTGCTTACTGTAAAACACAGTACTTCTTGTAATCGGACTCAAAGTCTTCATCCATGCTGCTCGTGTCTGCCATCTTTTTGCCGTCTATCTTTGGCAGAAATTGTGCATAGTCTACCCCCTGCTGCTCGTAGAAAAGAATGTAGGCAGAGTCGGTGTCGATCTCATCGGGATGCAATTCCTGAGCAAGAGAAAACCCTGGTCTGAACTACGCAACGGGACAACCGCGTCACTGAACTTCAAACACACACAGCTGCCCTGGAAACAGCCTTTTTAACTGGCTGTTACCACAAGAAGAATTGCATTTTCTACCTCCCTTCTCACAGTTATCAGGCTCCATTATTTACTGGTAAAGCATGACAAATTGTATAGTGATAAATGCAAATACTTAGAAATGTCGGAACTCAATTAACTGAACACAAAACTGCTAGCATCATGAAAAAACAGCCTCAGTAATTTTTCCATCTTTGTACAAAATAAGTATCTTTCATTAGCCATGGCAGCAGCTGATGAACAGATGTTTTCTTGAAAAAAATCTCATGTACAGTTTCAGTTAACAATTTCAATATTTATCCAATGCAACTTTTGAGATGCTCATGATTTCAAAGAACAGTTCCCACCAAACGTAAATTTCTTTGGTAACCAAGGACAAAAATTATTTGCTACAAAAACAGATGACTTACCTTACAGCTACTGTCATTGTAGCAGTACCACTTGTTGTTTGGGTTTTTGGCATAAGTGACGTAATGACCCCCTCCCATAATTCCTGAATGGCACTGAAGAAAACAAAGAAGAAAATAAATTCTGGATCAAACATCAAAACTGATAATTCACAGAATTGATTCAAAAATTCATAATCTTTAAGTCAGTGACAACGGCTCCTGACAAGCCATACATCTGGAGCTGACTAACTTTATACACTTAAGCAGAAAAAACCCACGATGCAGAGATACACTTTTCAGTTGTACTCAGTTTTATGGAAAATTTGTTCTGCTGCCAATGGCTCAATTTTGTTCTCCTTCTCAATAGATCCCTACTTTCTGTATCGCAAACAGCAGAGTAAAGGCATTTAGTCAAAACAACGCCACGTAAAGACAGTCCACTTGTATAAAAAAGGTCAACTTACCGAAATTGCATATAGATTGTAAATAGGGTTAACGCATACTTCTTCTCTTTGGTCATCTGTGATATCATCCTCGCTGTGGTTATCGACTTGACCGTTGATACTGCCGTTACTGTATGCATTCTGCTCACAGATGTATCCGTTGGCTAGAGGCATCTCATTGTCCTGAGCAGTATATAGTTCACTCTGGCTACCACCCAAAATCTGCCCTCTAGTGAGAGCATCACTCTGATCAGAAGTAATTCTCTGCTCCTGGTCAGTACCATTCTCCTTACTTGCATCCAAATTTTCTTTGCTACTTGACAGCTTGTTTTTACCCAGCTGTGGTAGCCGCAGACGCCCTTTACCTCTTCCTAAAGTCCCTGGGCTACTATTTGGGCTACTGTTTTTACTTGAAGGACAGCTGGTTCCACTTTTCCTCCCCAAAGACGGAGATGCTAAAACAGAGAACACATGGACTACTAAGATAAGTAAATACATACGTAGTCTAAGATTTTTTTTTTTAAGTGTTTCTTTAAACAACCAAACACTAAAAACCACTGTTTCATTGCAATGAATGAGGAGCATATAAAAGTAAAGCTATCTTTGTGTGCACACACACATACACCTCGAAACTGAAATGTAACTCTCTGATGCAGGAGCACATTGCTCACTCTGAACTCAGCCAACTCACACGAGCAGATGGTGCCGATACCTGTTGTCACCCAGTAACTTTTTTTCATTTTTTGGTAAAGCTTCACCAAGCTTTGCAGGGCAAACAACAACAGAAAGTGTTTCAACATAAATGCAGTGCTTTGGCCAAAGAAACATTAAAATTTTGTTCATAATATAATTTCCTCCCCTCCAAATATCAGTATTGACAGGAATTTTGCCTAGTTATTACTTACCTTTGATATTATTCAGGACAGTAGTGTTAAGGGAGGATGGACTTCTGTTCAGTACATCTCCTTCTCCCAGTGTGTAAGTGATCTGCAGGTCTGTTTTCCTAGACTCCCCCTGGAGAGCCCGTGGTTCAGGAAGGCTGTCAACCTGGAGCGTCAGCTGCTTTCTTTGAAAATGACTTGGATCCCTTTGTACCAAAAAGGCACTTGGGTCAAAATTTTCTCTGGGAAATTTAACAATCTTCTGAGATTTTATCCAGCGGCCATTTACAAACTGAAATCTTTTCAGGTGAATGATCTAAAGGAAAAACATGTCAGAGAATAAAGGAGGACAATTACATCACAGTCAGTAATTTCACTGTTTAAAAATATTTTTTCCTGGAACATACACACTTTTATCATACGCTAACACAGAACAGTAACAATGCTGTAATGGAACAATTTGGATTTGGGGATCAAACTGCTAGAACAGGGAACAAATATTTTCGTGAGGAAATGATGGAGAAATTTGCTTCAATTCAGTGATCAGCACTGTGTGTTTTGAATAACCTACCGAATTTGAAAAGCAACAAATGCAGGTGTTACACAACTAGACAAAAGACCATGTTACCAGAAAGACTGCCTGACCGTGAATTCTGCGTCAGAACAGATGACACTGAACGCAAACCACCACCATTTCCTGCTGTATCAGCTAAAAAGATTCGAAAGGATTTGAGGTTTGTTTTATTTGCCTGCATTACAGAAACGCATGAAGCAAACTAAGTCAATGCCCCTCCTGAGACTTTTGTGAACAAAAGCACATCTTATTACTCAGAACAAGGAGACATACCTAGCACTTCAAATTTGTGATCAATGTACTTTGGTTTTGTTGCTGTAGAGGAAAATTACACAAGATCATACCAAAATAGGGGGAAGTCTCCAAAGATCCAGTTTTTTGGTGGCCAAACAATGGGTCTTGCATTTGGAACAGTAGTACATCTCATCCTCCCCCAGTTCTTCCTCACTGGTGAAGGCTCTAAGACAACTATCCAGATTGATGGGCTCTGCTTGAGCTCGTCGGCTTTGCTCAACACTTTCATGTTCTTCTACGATCTAAAGTGAGATAAAACTGTATCTGACTTGGAAATATTGACAAACTGCTCAGAGGAAGGCTCTGTTCACAGTATCACACAAATAACGTCATATAGTTATTTAGGATTAAAAATAAAAACTAGATGCACTAAACTTTAGCAGAAATTTTATTTTAGTGATGAAGAGGCAGACATACAAATAGTGCACTGTCCTTATTCTTGGATTCTGTTTACAAAATTAACCATAAAGCACAAGTTTACAGACTCAACTCACAAGTTGGAAGAGCTATTCTAGATTGACTCAGCTACAGGCTTACCTTTAGCTATGTTTTGTTGACTCGATGAGGAAACAGATTTACTCACAGGCAGAACTGTTTATAGCACTGGTATGCTTAGAAAACCCATCAAATTAACGTATTTTGTGACAAACTGTGGAGGCTAGATCAAAAGCAACTCACAACAGACAGAAAATAAACTGCTGTGGTTTCTTAAAAGCCTCCCTTCCACATTATGCTATGTAAGAGGTCTAACATTAAGACATTAGTTTACCCAGAATATACTGTCTGATGATTACTGACTTTAACAGAAAATGGACAAAAGAAGCATCAAATAAAATAGGTGAAATGAGTCGTGCTTCAGAGCTATTAACAAACAACAAAGGGGTTTACGTTGAAATTTTACCCGTTCTTGCGACGTCTGGTAGCGCAGATGGAGTGCAGTTGGATCCCAGTCTACCGCAATGTAAGCATTCCCAACACAAGCTCTGTCTTCTGTGCACTCAATTTTACAGCCACGGCAAAATCTGATTCAAACAGTTAGATGAGGTAAGTAAACTGTCTAAAAACTAAGTCTTACATTACCTCACACTCCAATTCTGCTCCTTGTTTTGGAACATAGGCACCCCCAAAGTTTCAGGCCTTGCCTTCAGTGTAAGAGAGAGGCATTTTTATAAAACAATAATCAGTATCAGTTTGATATTTTAACTACAAAATTTTAATAGAGATGAGAAATTGAAGCAGTTGGGTGAGCCCAACCATCTACCTGTGTATAATGCTGACCAAGCCTACCTTCAACACCAAACATTTACAGCGCTCTGTCTCCGCAAGTATTTTACAACGCGATAGCTGATGTACTTTATTTATCTAGTTGTAACAGACTTTTTTTTTTTTTTTTTAATGAGTACATTGTCTGAATACCTTCCAGGAAGGGTCTGGAATTTTCGTTAGCATGTCTTTGTTCAGGGAAAATTCCAAGCACGATTCCAGTGTGAATTTCTTATTGTCCATTTTAGTTCTTACTCTTCAAATTTCACTAGCCAGGGTAGATGATTTACATCTAAAAATTTAAGTTTGTATGGAACCTCCACAAATCACCCAAATACGTACACATATGTGCCTGCATATATACACACACACACACACACGCACACAGAATATTATAAGGGGTTAAGAGGTTTTTGATAATCTCATGTCTGTCTACTACAGCTCTCCAAGTCATAAAAGCTATTCTACAGTGAAAGCCTGCCACATGAAGGTTTTGGTTAAATGAGATTCTAGACTCTTACTGTTTGATATTACCTCTGAAGTCTGAAACGTATCACAAGCTCATTACTATAAATTACCTTTCTGCTGGAGCGATTCCCATCCTTAAATCTAAAAAGGACCACTTACCGGTACCACGGACACCAAGCACAAGAATTGCCATCCTTCTGAACTACCCTTAGGGTGAACGGATACTGATATCCCATGCTATCATCACTGAAACAGAAGAGAACGTAACGTGAAACACAAGCAATCATTCAGACTGCCAACTACCTTCCTTCACTATGCTTGCTATGTTTACTTTAAAAGGGCCACACACATCCCCTCCTCAAAACTGTAATTTTTATTAGATTAAGCTATTAAAACAAGACCTGCCTTTACATCGCCTAAGTTTGAGAGACACAATCATCTGTCACTGGATGAGAACGAATCAACCGATTTGTGTAAAGCCAGCCTTGAAGTGCAGCTAGAAGGTATACTACATTGAACTGTATTAAAAAGGATTAGAAGTTATTTTTAATCATTGCCATTATTAAATTGCAGGACTCTCAAATGACTTCTTACAAAACCAACCCACTAAATGGAATCTGCAGGCAGAAAGCATTTGGGGTAAAAGTGCACACAGTTGTTCCTAAAGTTGTTGACATTTAAAGCTTAATTACACATTAAAACCCGTATGATCGTTCAACAGAGGTATTACGAGAAGTCAAAACAGATAAAGATCAAGATGAACGCAGTTTTACATCTTGTAAGGAAGTCTAAGCCACTGTATTACGTAATTCAAGCCAGAGGCTGCGATGCCAGACTCACCAGTCCTGGGCATGATTACTGGCTTCCTGAGGCGGCAGAGGGCTAGCAAGCCTGGAAACCTGAATCCACACTGCATCATACAGGTCTTTTTTCCGTGTATGAACAGTACAAGGAACAATCAGTGGCATTCCAAACAGACTAGGACGATTCTTCTGAGATGAAAGGAAATATAATTCTGTCCGCATCTGCGCATGTGAAATAAAAGAATGACTCAGATATAAGCATGCATTAACTCACGTTGCCATAATTACTACAATGCTGACCTTGTTACTTATTTCAGGCTCTGGTAATTAAAATAAACCATTAATTCTACTGAAAATACTCTATTTCATCATTTTTTTTTCCAAAATTAAATACTGTATATTTTGATCATTGACTTGGAAACTTTTTTGTATTTTATGATACGATGGCAATATTAAGGCATTAGACCACACCAAGCATGAAGCTGTGTTTCAACCATGTACCATATTCTATACTTCATACAATGCATGTTTCTTACTTTTCCCACCACATGGTGATATTGTCATGCAGACACGCACCTAATGATGCTGATACCTGTCCCAAGATGACCTCTACACCACGCAAGCTAATGTTTGCTAGAGAAAGAAAAGCTTCATGTCTAAAAGAGGCACAGACTTATACACAACTTACTGCAAGCAGACAAACTAAACTCCACCCTACATCTCCTATTTGTAAGGAAGATTTAACACGCCGACTCAAGGACACCAAGGTACAGCAACTGGCTACCACTTTGCATAAGTTAGATTTTTGACAATGACACAGGCGGATTTCTGGAACAGCTTCCCCAACCAACCTTTGCTGGTTTTTAAGCTGTATAACTAGAAGCTTGTAACAGCTCAAAAGCATTATACCAATCAGCTAAGAGATTCTGCAGAATTTGAGTAACAGTGATAACAGTGGTTAGTGGCTGCTACTGGAGAGAATAAAGCAAAAAAAGCCTCATACAAACACACAGTAAAAAAGGAAGTTAAATGGCTTCCTGGCCCACATCCACCAGGCTCTAAATGTCAACAGACTCTTTAAGTCTGTACGCAGCGCACAGAACGCGTGGCTATTTGAGGTGTTCAGTCATCCAGCTTCGACATTTAGAGTTCTATAGATGCTTTTACAAAGAGTAGTTCATGCTAACAGAACGACACAGGAATGTACTATATATCTTCACTCTGTATACAAAGTAAGGCTTTGCCACATAATGGGAAAGAAATGCATTTCTAGTAGCTCCTCTAATCAGATTTTTTTTCTGCTCAAGGAATCTGGAACATTTAATCAGGGAGTTAGCAAACGCCCAAGTATGCATCTCAGCATTAAGGGACTGGGAAGCACGCCAGTAC